GCCGCTCCTGTTTCTGTTTCCGCCGGCGCTCTTGTTTCTTTCTTCTTTTTCTGCCGCCGCCGCCGCACTGGGGGCCGCTGTTGCCTCTCTCACACACACACTCCGTCACTCCCTCCCTCCCTCACACAGGCACGCAGGGAAAGAGTGTATCGCGCCCTCGCCTTCGCGCTTGGCAGGCGGCCCTGGCTCAGTCACAAGGCGAGGAGGAGCCTCCGCGGGGCCCAGGCGACGAAAGGGGAAGAAGAGGGCAGGACCGGTGGCGGGAGCGGCTGGGGGCTTAGCGGCCGCCGCCGCCGCCACCGCCCTCGGCGCGTGTGAGGAGGGCGGGAAAGAGCGGGAATCACTGAGGGCCACCCGCTAGCTGAGGTGCGCCACAAGGACCCTCAAAACTCGGCCGGGTTTTGGTCGGAAAGGCTCCCGACAGCAACGATTCGGGGTAGATAGCCAGATTCATCACAGTCCTCGTCCCCGGTTTTTTTCCCCTCCATCAAAAGCGGCGCCCAGCTTCCGTTTCCCCATGCTCCTAATTTGACCAAGCCCCGTTTCCAAAGTTCGCCTTCAAATGTTGTTGCAGCAAAACAAGAGAAAACCAGAAGAAACTTGGCATCTCATTCCCAGCTATTAAGTGTGAAAAAGGAATTACTGTATAGGAAAGGAACATCTAGGTCCTGAACTGGTGTTTTTAGTCGTTTAGTCATGTCCAACTCTTCGTGACCCCATGGACCAGAGCAGGCCAGGCCCTCCTGTCTTCCACTGCCTCCCGGAGTTGGGTCAAATTCATGCTGGTATGAACTGGCGTACTCAGAAATAAAAAGTGATTTACCGCTGATAAGTGATGCTAACAGATGGACCAATTGTAGGGCTAGCAAGGTGCAGCCATGCCACCTTTTTCTTCTATGGGGCGGAAAGAAAGAAAAAAAATCATGGCAATAAATCTGAGCTTCCTGTGGCATCTATTCTCATCCCTGTAAAATTCTGTTAGTCTGGAAGGGCGATTGAAGAATTATTTATTTATTGAGCAGAATCATTACAAGTTAAGAATATGGAAACAGTTGAGATACAATGTATACTCGTGATGGACACCCATACAAAGGGACTATAAGCTTAGGTTTCTTAAGCCATTACTAAATGTAAAACTTCTGCTGTTAACTACTGCTACTGTTATTTTCTTCACAACTACTGTACCAACTCTCATCACAAGGTGCAAAGATAAAAACTCAATATTCCCTACATTAACACACGATTCCTTTGCCATCCTCTTTCACCATTATATTTAATATTCTCTTTTTCTCTCCCTCTTGAGTTTAAATGACCCCCCCATCTTCAAAACCCACACTCCATGGCCCTCCTCTCTCTTCTCCCCCTCCTTTGCCCAGGTCTGATGTCTGTTTGCTGTCTACTGAGGAATTTTTACAATAGAGCCCTAAAACAAGCCATAAATTACTGTATTTGCGAAGGCTGCCTGTAAACATAATATGCATAAATTACTGCCTGTAAACATAATATGCATCCAGGAGCCCATGAATATTTAGTATGAAACTGATATTTCATTCAACATTTCATTGTTTCCATATGTCTGTCCAATGAAGTCGACGCCTCCACAAAAGCTTACATTAAAATATATTAGTTTTTAAAATGCCACATTTTCTTTTATTTTTCCTTTGATTCTTTGCATTTTGCTTGATATGCTTCCACAGACTAACACAGCTACCTCTTCCAAAACTGAACAATAATAGTTAATCTTTTATTTTCAGTTGAAGACCGTCTTATTCAGATTCACCATTTAAGGAACAAAAGAATTAAGAGCTTAAGGTTGAACAGTAACCTGTTGGTGGATGGGCTGGTGACTATCTAGCCCAATATGAGCCCAGAAGATTTGAAAACAGTGAGGGCAGCTTAGGTGATCCTAAGTTGGTTGGGCTGCTGAGATGTTACTTCCTTGCTTTCTAACTTCCCTCTTCCTTTGTGCATCTAGCATCTAAAGACCTCGTGTGTGTGTGTGTGTGTGTGTGTGTGTGTGTGTGTGTGTGTGTGTGTGTGTGTCACTAAACTGGGATGTACTTTCAAGCAGGGGTGTGCAAGCTCCTAGGGATTAGGAGGTGCATCCCCTCACCCACAGAGGAACCTGTCTTGCAGGGACCTGGCCCAGATGTTGTCTAGTTATGTCATATCAGAAAGAATTAAAAATAATCTTGAAAAGATGGAGAATTAAGAGGAGCAATTACAACTGAAATAAACATGATGGAAAATGTTGGTAGGAGAATTAATGGTGTAAATGCAGGATGGGTATCACTCAGCCTGACAGCAGTACTCATAAACAGGAACTAGAGGGGTTTTTTTTAAACCACAAGCTAGACATGCTTCAGCAGTGCAGTCTGAGAACTAAGAAAATTATATTCTTAAACTGCACCCATGGCCAACCCTACTGTTAGGTAGAGTGGGACTCTGGCCTCAGGCAACAGATTCTGAGTGTAATTAAAAGTCAGCAGATTGTTATTTAATTTAACTTTTAGATGGTAGAATATCTTCTAACATATATTAAAAGAACTAGCCACATACTATTATAAAAATCAACTTAACCCAACCTTACTAAGATTCAAATATGTATCTTCTGTTTGAGAAACAGGCAGGAATCTCAAACACTTCAGGTTACCTGGAAGGGCATCTAACTAGATAGTTTTGCCTTTAAATTTCTATATGTTACTTTGGATCATGCACTTTCCTTGAAGAAATGCTGCCAAAATGCAAAACATTTGCCCCTAAGAAACAATATTCTTTGAAAGCTGTCAGAAACAAGTTAGGCAAACAACCACAAATACTAAGAGTTACAGGGATTACTTATGCTGTTCTGCAAGTGAATATCCCAGGCCAGTGTGGTAAAAATCAGCCTATGGAAAAACAGGTAAATGTAGCAGTCAATGAAAGCTATAAAATCATTACTGGATACCTGAAGTGGACCTCTGTTGATAAAACCAGCAACCTAGCATACGTTGCACCTAGGGACATAAGAAGAGACAGCTAACAGTGAAGGCCTCAAAGCATCTATATCAAATTTGCATCCATTCTCAGCTACTGTCCACCACCTCATAGACTAAAATCAAGGAAAAAAATTTCAGAATGCCCCAGATACCTAATAGGGACGTGCCTGATTAGGTGGAAATTTTCTGAAATGTGTAATTATACTGTGATTCTTCTGACACAAGCAAATAATTATTGTTATATCTCTATTGACAGGGAAAGGAGGAGAGGACATTTTCTACTTCATGTACCAAATTACTCTAGTTGGCTTCAAACAGTTGTTATCTGGTATAATTCCCTTTTCTCTCTTATTTGGCTCTTGCTGGAGGGATGACTCAGGGATGTCAGAATTTTCTAACAATAATCCTTTATTCTTTGACAACTTGCTCAGTTCAACATTAACAACAGACACTGTCTCTTGCTTCAGGGGTGTTGCACCTTTTCCATTCTCATTGAACTATAACAAATCCCTTCTAATTGCATAGAGGTAGAACTCAAGTTTCCATAACGCCACCTCCGTGGAACAAACAATCTATCACATACACCTGTAGCTGACCTTTTTGGGGAGGGTGGAAAACCCAGCCCACTTGTGGTTCCCATACTTTCTTGCCCAGTTTTTGTCTCATCCTCAGTCTGAATGGGCTCACCTCATGGGGTTTCCCAGGACAGTCTGGCCATGCCTTGTTCTCCCTTCTTTGTGCTTCCCTCTGCTGCCACTCCCTGAACTTTTCCCTTTGTTCTTTTTCTTCTGTCTCCCCGGAGTAAGGTGGCTTTCTATAGTCTTCCTCTTCATTCCTTTTCAGCATATTCCCTTGGGGCTTTAAACACCATCCACTCTCTTGTCCAGGGGTCCTCCTGTACTATCTCCCCCCAACCTTGTTTCCAATCCTCCTCCTCCTCCTTTTTCACCCAACACACTTCTCCTTCTTAAGTTTCCAACTGCCCACTTCCCCACTTTCTCCATTTTATCTCCTCTCCCTTTCTTGCCAAAATGATGCCCTCTGGTGGTTCCTCCTTTACTTGTCCTTTCTGCCACTGCTCTTCCAAACATCATCCTTTTAGGTTCTCCTCCAGGGTGGGCATCTGTCCCTCTGTTTTCAGCCAAGGAGGCAGACAGTACACTCTGAGGAGTGCCCCTTAGGGTACTCTCATCCTCACAACAGTATATACCTGCATTCCTTGGGTGAGGGGTGTCCTTAGCAGGTCGAGGGGCAGCAAAATATCAAATGGGGTAATGCTGACTGAATTAAAAGGAGCATATTGTTCAGAGGAAATAATAGTATCACAGTGTTTTGCTTTAGTCTCAACTCTTGTCTTATGTCCAATTCTGGACAAAGCAATTTAAGAAATATATTGGAAAAAAAGTATGAAGAGAAAAATGGCAAAGAAGGAGAAGGGCTAGAGATCGAATCTTAAGAGGAAAGATTGAGGGAGTTTGATGTGTTTAGCCTGGAAAAGAGACTATAAAA